AAGGAAACCAAAGCTTTTACTCACCTAAAATGGTGAGGGGGAAGGAGGAGAGGGGAGAAGTATACCAACTTTTAGCCTATAAGGAATGTATAACTTACTGAACCTTTAAAATACACCTTAATTACATTTATTGACCAAAACCCATCTTTTTGTTCATACAAAGGTATTACTGCCTTTTAAACTAAATTCAATCCAGTGAAATTCAAAGCTTTGGATAAAGAACCAGTCTACTTCTGGTCATTTCTACAGCTGTCTCACCATCACAATCCGATCTTTCCCACAGACTCTTTTATGGACCTAAAAATTCTTCAATATAATTTCCAGGTGAGATTGCAAACATTATGCATTGACTTGATTGCATTGATAGTTGAGTCAGATCACTTGGTAGTGATCTGATGAAGATGTGAGGACAAAAGCAGACAATAAAGGGCATCATTTGACCTTTAGTATTTGTCTTTTACTATGATTGTTTCACATGCAGATAGAACATCTGACTTCTTTGCTGAAAACCCACTTTTAAATCTTATAACTATTCCCCACATCTCTGTTGGTAACACCATGTCTCCATGTAGTTTAAATCAGCACACTGAGTTTACAGCTCTTAGAAAAGTCAACTTCTAACAGTTGATATTTCCTAATGTTAACCAAAGCAAAGCTGGCATTCAGTTATAGTAATGAAGCTTTTTTAGTGTGCAGGAATAGCAGGCATAAGTATTCCAGTAAACAGTTTTAGATCGTTAGTTTTATTTAGTTTTAAATTACAAAATATTTCTATCTGTGGTATGAAAATATTATTATAAATAAAGTAGGCGTGAGGTGGGGAGAAAAACCTTTGCAGTAGTGCTTGAATATGTAACTGCATATGGCCTAAAGAAGGCTTATTTGCTCTGTAAGGCATGTAAAGAATTTAGTACCTTAAAACTATTAGAAATTACTCTTACTTATGGAGTGAAAAATAGTCTAGTCATAATTGAGCTCAGATCATGTTTTGATGAACTAATGACCTCTTTGATAACAACCCAAATGTGTTGCAACACGATTTAGCAGAAATGCAGGTTACATGGTTTATGAAGTTCTGCAAAGACTTTTGTTGTCTTACTTTTGTATAACTACATTAAAGACATGAGTTAGGGTTTTTTTCTGATCTGTGTTTGTAAGATCACGTGTATTTTGGTTTTGGACAGGAATTAGAATACTTCCTTGTCTGGTTTGGGTTTTTTTTTTTTGTCTGTTTTTTTTTTTTTTAAAGGACTCTCAAGATATATGGACTTCCATTTCCTAGTTTACAGTTGTGTGGATGCTTTTGGTTTATTTGGATTCCTTTGTTTCTCTTGGTCAAAGTTTCTGTTTTAAGACTTGCATTTCAGAAAGCATGGCTGAGTCTCATTCATGCTTTGTCACTAACTTCTACTTCCAGTATACTTTGCTGACAGTCAATTGCTATCACTTGCATCAAACTGCCATCTGGAAGTGAACTGTGGATCTTTATTCTTTGTACGCAAGCACCATTCCAGCCGTGGCTGAGTGATGATGATGTTGAAGTAGGGAGGCAGAACAGAATAGTTTACTCCCCAAGTCTCTACCCGTTCTGCCTCTGGATAAGGAATTTTTTTTTCACAGGTTTCTTCATAAAGCCAGGTAATGGACAGCATTTATGCAGAGGGTTGAAAGGCTTTGATTGCTTACTGATTAGAGGGAAATCCTGCAAGAGTGACTTCTATAAAGAAGGCAGATGAAGAATGCTCTTGTTGTCATGAACTGGAAGAGAAACAAGAACGTAATGAACTAAGTAACAACAAAGTCACCTCTGAATTTTGTTTGCATATGTATAAGAGAAAGGCATTGAGTTAGCAACATGACAGGATGCATCAAAATATCAAAACACTGAATGGTACACTATGTTGAAAGAGTGTCGAGGACTTTGATCTTCACATTTCTGGGGTTTATCCAACTCTTGTTTTAGCTTCTGGTGAGGACTATCCTTTGAACACCTTAGTGGATGATCTCAGGGCTGATCTAGTGTGCCATTGCATAGTTTCTATATCTTAAAACTGCTGGATTTTTATTTGGTTTAGAAATTATGAAAGAATAACGTGTGGAGGGGAGAAAAACCCAGATCAATAATAATAAAGACTAATATGTAATTCAGGTTTCTCCTGTATCATGATATAATTCTGTAATTGTGTTAGTTTTTCTATTTCTTGCATTTCTGATGAAGCAGAACATGCTGAAGATGGATTTCAGCTACACTCTGTTCCTTTGAGGAGTCTGTGGGCTAAAAGCAGACCACCCTTTCTACCAGGATACATAGAAAGTTATGTCAACATTGAATAATGTATTACCAGACTGCAATAGCTGAAGGTAACTGCTCGTCTTCTCCCCCACAGTGCCCTATTTTGCACATACAAATTCCCATCTTACAGCAACTTTAGCCGCTGCTCTTCCTATTGCAATAGTCAAAAATACTGAAAGAAATCCATATCCCCCAACTTCCTTTAAATTTGTATTAAATAGAGAAATATATATTATTTATATTTTCAACAGAAATACATATGTATATATGCATACATAAATACATACAGATATATTAAAAAACCTTTTCTATTTATCTGTTCTTTTTACTATATTGCTTGTTTGGTTAGTGTTTGACCATAACCAGGATTGTTCAGAACTGACATTAATTGTAAGTAATTACATTTATTCTAAGATATAACTTGACATTATTAACATCATTATTGATTATACCTGTTTCTCTACAAAGCATATAATAGGAAAAATACATATTCCCTTCCTACCATTCAAACAGATGTGGGGATCCAACCCTTCTCTGTCTTTTCCATATGAACAGCTCCTTTGAAAAAAGATAAGCAGTCTTTGTCGTCATGTTGAAATATGCTGTTAAGTGCTAAGAGCCGTTAGTTCATTGTGAAGGTGCTGATACAGGAAGTTACCACTATTTTGCACATTGAAACACTACACTCCAAGGAAATAGTCACTGTTTAGTAACTCTGCATCTGCTGTAAAATTCATATTTAGATTTCTTTTAAACAAATGTCAGGTACAAAATTTAGCTTCTTCAGTGTCACTTGTTTTTCCATAGCTTTTAAACATTTTCATTTTGTGCATAAACCAATTTTAAAGTACTCTGAAAACTCTTATAGATAGTAATGTACTCAATATAGAAAATTAGTCAGTGAAGCAAGAATGAGTATAGTTATACTGAAAAATAATCTCTGGGTCCCTACAGCACAATTTGCTTTTTGTAAAATAAGATGTATTTACAAATTATAAGATACTTGTCCAGTGTCCATATTTTAATTCTTTTTAAATAGTATATAAATGTTGAAAATGGGAAAAAAGTCACAATTTTAGTTTCAAAACAAAATAAAAAAAGAATTCAGTGCACTTACAAATATATCCAAGTATGCCAGCCTGCAGCCAGTCAGGAAAAGCAAATTGCAAACATCTCTGTACAAACAATAGTTATTATTGACTTGAGTCTACTTACATTGTCCCCATCTAAGCTCTTGAGAGTTAAAGAACAGGGAGTATAAAAAGTAATCTCACATGTTCAGTCCAGCTACCACCACTATAGTAAAAGCTATATACTCCTCTTGAAATAGGAGAAGGAAAACAGCTGGAGCTAGATCATCAGTTAAAATTGTTATAGTGCCAATAAAGCAGTTGACAACTTACTGGAGTCAATTAGCCCCTAACTATTTTCTCAGAGTGACTAAGATGTTAGTTTAGACAAAGCAAAAGACCCTGAATTTCCTGAATCGATGCAGCATTTCATGTTTCTGTTGAAATTAATTTAATTTTATTGTACTAAAATTAATTTCCAGATAGGAGTCCTTAATTTTTGTTTGGCTGCATGTAAAACTTTTTTGTGCTTTTGACTCCTACCAGTGTCCATTACACCTGCAACAAAGCTGGTTGGAGTTTGATTTGATTAGGCATCTCTTTCCTAATTACATTCTTAAGAAGAATTATGGAGATGAAGGGTGAATATGCAATAAAATAATAGATGCCTATGAAGTATGAGAAAGAGATCTTGTGATTGTGTTGAGAGTGACAAATAAATTAAAATACTATTACCTTTAAACTCAGAATATGCTGACAGTATGACAGCTGTTTTGCCTCTGGAAAAAAATTATAGGGAGTTTGCTATGGGCAGTTCAGTCGAATCATCTGATAAAATGCAGCTTGTTCCCTAACCAGCTATCACAGCTTGCTTCCAGGAAGTTCCCTGGAGCTGCAGGTTTGCGTGTACCTTGATAGGTAGCTGCATCTTGCTGTCTATTCAGCTTTAGACCTTGAAAACTCCCTGGCGTCTCAGTCCTGCATTTCTAGATCAGGCCCAGAAATTCCTTGTTATTAGTCTGGTTGTACTTCCATGGTCACTCTCAACAAAAGTTACAGTATCATAACTAACCAGCTAAAGTGCATGAACAATAGTTTCTATTTCCTTTGTAAATATTCTTTATAAATATTATGTCAAATAAAAGGAGATGAAATGAAATAAAAGAAAATCAGAATTCATCACTCATCTTTTCTTTTAAAGGGTTACGAAAACATGATGGGATTGTAGCTCCCTTTCATGGGATTTCTTAACATTATTTTGGGCCAATTTAAAGTGCTGCAAATCAGTGCAGCTCCTTTCAGTGAAACCATGCCAAGTTATACCAATTCAGAATCATGCTTTTTTTAGCAATCCTTATTGTATTTTTAAAAAATAATCCTGTAATTGATAGTTTATGTCACGTGAACATTCAATTGTTTATAACAGAATTAGAACAAATGCATTCTTTTCTTTGACAATTGAATAAAATAATTTAACAAGAGCTTTTATAGTAGAATCAATGTAAGAACCATTAAGAAAGTATTGTTACAACCCTGTACAGTTTCTGTCTTTTTGATTTGTCCAGAGTTTGTTTCCAGGTGATGTCCAACATAAATACTCGCTGTTTGAAAATTGAGAGCACCTGTGGATAGACAAATCCTTTGAAGTCACTTCAGCCCACCATGACCTTCAGTGATTTCTTTGAAACCTTGAGCTGTTCTTCAGTTGGACTGATGGTCATTTCGAAGATGCATTGCAGTAGGTTCAAAAAACTGGAAGAAAAGTTTATAGAGAAATTTAAGCTATGGGTTGTTAACAATAAAGTTAACCAATAAAACTGCCTGATTTCTGTCTCAGGAAACTTAAAATAGAACTGCATGACAAGGGAGAATCTTCTTAGAATTTGATGTTCGTTACCCAGATCATCAAAGCTCAATTGTGAGTATGTATGGCAATGACTGTTTTCTTCTGAACTTTCTTTTTCCAGTGTTTAAATTGAAACATGATGTAACAATACACACTGCAAGCTTTATGAATATTAAAATACAAGCTAAATACTTTTCCAGTTCTTGTTTCTTTCTCTGTTCTTGTTTCTTCCCACTTGATCCATGCATCATAAGAATCTCATCTTCTCCTTCAACATATTATGTAACTCTTTTTCTGCCTTCATACTATGTTCTCTGTGTCCAAATAATACCCAGGATTCAGCACATTTAGCACATTCAGTGGCTTTGTACCTTCCTCTGCTCCCAAACATAATAAGCTGGCCTCTGCTTGTTTTTCTGCAGTTTATCATCAAAACTTTAACATCGTATCCTTCTTTAGTTTGACATCATTCCATGTTTCATTCCATTAAAAACTGCAATATCACATTACATAAAAATATTAAGACAGGTTACTTTAGAATGAAGATGTGTAAGATGTTAGAACAGCATATGCATTGATATGAATGCCATGAATGATATGGCAAAGGTAGACTAAGTACTTGTATTCTTTGCATTAAAAGGGCACTCTTTGCATTCTAAATCAAGCAAATTTTAAAATAAACTAAGCATGCAATTCACCTGCCAAGGTCACTGTCATAATTAGTACTCAGCTCAAGGACTTGACAAGATTTAAAACCAAAAACAAAGCCAAAAAATGCTGTATGACTTTTTCTAATTTGTCAGGCAGGTGTGTTCCGCTTTCAAGAACTTCTCTATTTGAAGAATCTAGACAAATGTGTATTGTATGTATATTGTGTATATCTATGTATAGAGCTTTTTGTGGATGGCAGATATTACAGTACTCTACAGAAGAACATGCACCATAGAAACATGCCTGTTCCATTTTGCATGTATAAATCCTGGGGATGTCACATCTTCAAACCTTGCATCTAAATTAATTACAAACTGACCTTATGTACTGAGGGAGTAAGTCTTAGAGTAATTTTAATGGTTTATTTTTTTCATTTTATAAATGGCACAGTGAGATTGCTATCCTTAAGCAGCTGTCAGCATTACAGTTATAAAACCTTTTGAGAGAAAGGTGGGCTTACCATACAAGTATCAGCATTTTCTGTGGTCTAAAAACTGGAGTATGTTATTTCAACTTTCTTATACACATTCATATACACATTCTTCATACACATTTTCAAGTACTTCTTTTTTTCTACTTTTATGTTGTCCTTTGGTTATATCAGGTTCTAACAGCACGCTGTCTTGCAAAATGCAGGTAGAGAACTATATTAGCTTCATTTCTATACTTTTACCAATCTAACTGTTGTCTGCAATGATACTGCTACTCCACAATACAAACCAGTTTAAATTGAAATATCTTTTATGTATCAAGTTGCATGGTGGATGACTGCTGCTGAATAAGAGTATTTTCCCACTTGTTCCAATGGAGAATAGAAACATTTATTTAAATATTAAGGCCAGAAGATAACTTTATCCCTACCCACATATAAAAAGCATTAATTTGAAGCACTTAATTTCAACCTGGAATATTTTTCAATTTTGTAAATTTTTTTTTCATTCAAAGAATGCTGCTATTTTGCTTTAAAAAGTAACAAAACATTAATTATACAAAGAAAGTTTGCTACTAAACTTCCTGGTTTGTTGAGCTGGACTTGATTCAATATATATAGAAGTACAAAAACAGAGTCCAGTCTAAGATACTCTTGCTATCTGCCCAATCCTGGCTGCTCTGAAAAAATAATATTCAAGTGTTTAAAAGCATACATTTTATTAGAAACACCTTCTTCATTATACAAACTTCCAAATCCTAAAATTTCTGTGTAATTAGCATACTCTTAGTTTACATGCATAGTACGAGAAAGGGTGATTTAACCTGAAGTCTTCCAAAAAGAAAATGATTAAATGGAGGAGGAAGAAAAAGGTACTCCAAGGAGCACCTTTGAAAAGGACTCAAGCCCCAAGGTTCTTATAAATATTATCAGATACAATACACAAGAATGACTTAATTTCTGTAACATATGGCCCATTACTTAAGCCATAAGAAAACTGCTTAGTAGTGCACAGAAATACTACCAAACAGCTTAGGCAAGAGTTCCTTATTTCACACAACTCTGTCATTACATTAACAAGGCTGCTCGTTCTAGCTGATGCTCTGAATCCAGAATATGAAGTAAAAAACAATTCTTGCACTTCCTTCAAAGTCAAAAGAAGAGTCTGGCTGGAAGAGAATGATGAGTTGAAAATTATCTTTGATTCCAGTGCTAATAGCCTGCTTTTACAAACAAATTAATGAAGTGCTTCTTGATTTATTCTATATGCACCATCCTGTTCGGTTTAGGAATCTTCACAATAACAGACTTAGGTGAATGATGTTCTGCACGCCAAACTACACTAATCAAAATCCTAGAAAGGTGCATTGTAAGAAATTGTGCACAGAAAATTTGGTTATTTCAATGAACTGATTAAAATTTTTTTCACATTTTGTTTTTTAAACAAAAGCCAAATTAACTCAAAGAAGTAACTCAAAAAAGAAAAGATAATATACCTGAAATACTGCATAAAATGCACTTTCTAAATGAAATTATATTTCTGAACTGAGTAATACTGTACCAATATTTAATCTTTTGGGCTTGAGCCTGTGACTGAGTTGAACTGGCCTTGAAGCATGCCAGGCTTTGTTCATGTACCTTTTGTATCTCCTCTGCTTGAATGGGAAATTCTTACATATTTTTAATGTATTTTTAAAGCAAAACTAATCCTGATTTTCCTTGAAAAGCAACAGCTGGCAAAGTGACACAACATATTGAGTTAGAAACCTAGCAATGTATATAACAATCATTATTAGTTACAGATGAGTACACAAAGAGGAAAATGTAATATAGGAAGAAGAACTTGATCAACATTTTGCATAATTGTTTACATTCTTCATCATTTGAAACACTCCAGCTGTCAATACTGTTCGGTTTTCTGAATTTCACTGATGGATTTCTGTCATTCCATAAGGCTACTAGAGAACATAATTTCTGAGTTTGTGAGCTTGCAAAAGTTGTCTTTTAAAAATATTTATAGTTGGCACTATGTCCTAGACATAGTTGAGATACTTAAGTATCTAAAAGTAAGTATTTTAAAAGCCTAGTTCTAATATAACTATTAATATGCAAGGTTCAGTGTAAATATTTCATCAGTACCAAGAGAAATGGCAGCTATGTTCCAAATATTTCTATATCCAGAATGTGAACGGTTGAATTAAATCACTGGAGTTATGGCAAGCTATACAAGCTGATGAACTGGCCTCTAAACCGAAGCTGTAATGATTATACAGGAGGTTTTTTGATACTTCCCTTCTTTGATTGAGATAAGTAATTTGCACACATAGTCAATATTTTAATAGCAGGATCAGTAACTCTGGCACAAATGCTAAATTTAGCATTGGGCAGATTTTGAGTGGCCAGGAGTTAGCAGCTGTGACCTCTTGAGAGAGACATCTGCAGGAACATTTGTAAGAGATAGTACCTCCTATCTTCCTGCCCTCCTGTTTTCATATAAGCTACTTGGCAGCACACTCCATCTTTGAGAGACAGCATTTTCCAGGTCATACTAGTAGCAAAAATCAGCAAAATTAGAGGCTAGTAGCCTCTGCTTCAAGCAGAGGCAAGATGCCACCAATCAGCTGATCAGCACTGTCTTGTTACTTTGAACTGCAACATCTCTTGGCTGTCCAAGAGATTTCCCTTGGCCTGCTTTACCTCTAATCTAGGAAATAAAGGTACAATCTGCTCACCACTCATACCAGATTGCCAGACTCTGTTTTTATTGATGTAAGGACTTTGTGCATTCAGTACTGTCTAAATACCATCATTATCTCTCTAGCTGTCCTAAATAAAGCTGAATGTACCAATCATATTGACTGCAGTGTACACTGAGATTCAAAAACTCTATGGCAATGAGGCAAATGAATGTATATTTTACCAAGGAAATGGGACACCATTAGCTGTGTTTAGGCAAAAGAGAAAAATTAGACAATTAAAGCGTTAAAGACTTAAAGTTTAATGACTGCTTGAAAATTATAAGCTAATCACTAACTGATTATTGTAGACATGCTCAATTTGCAGGGCACACATCTCTTCTGGACCTCATGGATCACTCTGATTCAAACAAACTTAAGCAAAGAATTTAGGAGCTTTATCTGCAAAAAACAGTTCAGCTATATGAAGAAAAAACAAAAAATCAGTGTTAAAATGTATAAAAACAGGGAATCTTGATTCACAAACTGTATATTGCAGTTGTCAATTCTTCACACTATGGATAAATGTTTAGAATGAATAATAAACTTTTTGTGGGAGATTGTTATCTTATTACTTCACTGAGCAAACCTTAGGCAATATTAAATTTCTTATCTCCTTGGCTACATTGCTTCAACAGATAATTCTACCATTTCTTGTTGCAGATAGTTAGATTAAGAAATGGAAGATTTAAGATTAATTTGTTTGCTGAGAATGGTGTCATACATTGTCTTACACAATGCATTCTGCTCAGTGCAACATGGCATAGAGATAAGTGTTTACATTTCTCATCTTTAAATAGCCTTTCTGCATTGTACTGAGTGTTACTACTACTGGAAGCCACAGCTGATTTTTTAACAAAAGCTATTATCAGGAACTTTCCTCAGAAAGGACTGACGAACTGGAGTTGCAAGAGTAAATGAACAATTAAAATAATATTGGTCAAGTAAGCACATTACATATTACAAGCAAGTATTCAGAAATTCTATTACTTACTTCCATAGTGTCTTTTGAAAGATAAACAACCCAGTATACCAGGTTGAATCCTGCAAATGCCACTGGAAAGAGGATCCTAGAATACTGGTCTATTTTACTTGTTCCTCCAATAGGTGGTGGTGGTGGTGGTGGGGCTGGTGGAGGAGCAGACACTGGTTGACACTGGGATGCACTATTTGATATTATGCTGGCTTCAGGAGACTGATCTGCCTGAGACATTATGGAGTTTACTCGCTTCTTCAGGTTACAGCTGGAGTCAGAACGCTGTGGAAGAAAAAAGAAAAAGGTGGGGGGAAAAAGGTGATTTTTGGATATAGAGCCTTAGGTTTTGTGCTTATTAGGATTCTCTCCGCCTTTTTACTCAACTTTGATTTATTGCTGCTTCTCTGCTATAGAGCACCATAAGGACATCACAAAAATAATGTAAATATACAGAGGTACATTTGTGGCCTAAAGATCTGCTGTAAAAACATAAAAGAATATGTGTTTTCCATATTTTTAACATGGTAATAAACGGAAGCTACAAGAGAGAAAGAAAAAGAGAAGATGGAGCTAAAAGGAAAAGAAAAGAAGGTAATGATGTATCTAAATTGCAATATAGTGGTATGACTGAAGTTTATGTAGATAGGCATTGAGTTTAAACAAAATAGCACATATGGGCTGGCTCAAGTGTGTGAGCCCATTTGATGAGTTTTGGTAAACACTGAATGGAGTCAAGCTGTCACACTGTTATTAGTCCCCAAACTAGCTGCTGATGAACTAGAAAACTGCCGCACAAAAGGAAATAGACTTTACAGGTGCCGAAGACATGAATGCTAATTTGTCCTGTAGTTTTTTCTAGGATGAAATTTCATTTTCAAATATATCTCGTGATTCCTACAGCAGTTTCATGTATACAACTGAAGACAAATACTCATCCTAACTGTAATGGGACTATTTTTCTTTTCATTTATGGTAAAATGCAACCAAACTATTCTTATATTTTGTGCAATATTCATAGCCAGGTCCAATTACTCTTCAGAAAGCTCTATGGAAACTCCTAAAAATTTGACCAGATGTCAGGAACATTTAGAGTTTACCTCTTAGTTGCTAGGCTGACATGTATATTTATTATGTACACCTGTTTTATTTGTGGCCAAGTTGCCTTTTTTTTAGTTTCACAAGAGTAGAAGTAATAGATTTCTTCCTTGCAGAAATGGCTTAGGAATAGGATCTACCACAGGCTCTAAGGCTGCTCTAATGGATGGCATTTGCCCACTTTCACAGTAGTACCAAATGGGAGGAAATTTTCAAAAACCTTGCTGCTACTGCCACTACCCAGGATTACCATTACTAATGTGGATGCATGGCAGCAGCCATAAGATTTGTCTGATGGCTGAGAAAACACAGAATAATGCCTAGAGTGTCAAGCTGGTTTTTATCTTTTTGATATGTAGTACTCAAGTTTTCTCTTAATAGGGAGCAACAGAAATACCTTAGACTCTAAAAAGCAATACTAACATACGACATTTTAGTTGAGATTGAGGCTAAAGCTTTATCAGTAAAGGATTACAAAACTTATTTCCAGATTATTGATGAAAAATCTTGTGCAAAAAATTGCCCAACATATGCAGCTATTCTTGGGTTTGAATAAGCAGCTTTTTTGGTCAGCAGAACTAGATGACCAAATGACTGACACTGATGAGGAAAGTCTTAGACAACGTAAATAACTTGCAATACAACAGCATATATATCTATTGTGAAATGGAATAGTAACAATTGAATGGTTTTAAGCTAACAGAATTCTGTTAGATATGCAATTTCTAAAGTAATTCTTTGGGATTGATTTAGTGACAATCATTCATTTAAATGTAGCCCACCGTCAGCATTTTGCGGAATTATCTTGCAGGATTTCTATGCATGGAAACAGATTTTAGTAAATCAGATAAATGACTGGGTCATTAAAAGGAAAAGAAGCATTTTCTGAAATACATTGCCTATATTTGTACTTGGGCCACAATTTCTAGATAAAGGACTAACCTAGCACACCTGGTATGTGATGTATGACTTAAAATAGAGTTATAACAGGAATTGTCGTTTTAGTGTTCATTGTTACTGCCAGAGTATCAGAACAAATGATGTTGCTACAACATGATGCCAAGTTCTGCTCATGGATG